ATATATATATATATATATATATATATATATATATATATATTATATATATATATATATATATATATTCTTGTATGTGGTGTGTGTGTGTGTGTATGTATCACTTTATGTATGCACACACACAGCTATATACACACACACACATAGATGTTTGTGTGCAATGTATGTAGCGAGGCGGAGGGCTCGAAAAATACATCGTGTGTGGCATAAACCACAGTTAACACAAATCCTTCGACAGCGTTGTCACCGGCGTGAAAGTCGTTTTCATGTCCGATTCTCTCAGCATCGTTCCCAGCCGTGTGAGAGTGACATGAAGGCAGAGTGTGACTGAGAAGAATCCGGCGAAGTGAAAATACGGGGGGAGGGCGAGAGCGCGGCGTCCCTAGCTGGGCTCTCTAACTAGCGGCTGCCCAGGTCTCTCGGTTTTAAGCGAGGCCGCGCCCTCGGCCGCCCGCGACCGCCTCGCCTCTGCTTCCCACACCGCTGGCTGGCGACTGGCGGATGCCCAAGAGATTTTGTCGCTTAGTAGAGCTTGTAAGCTATTGTGTGTGTATATATATGTATATATATATATGTGTGTGTGTGTGTGTGTATGTATGATATATATATATATATATATATATATATATATATATATATTATATATATATATATATATATATATATTAATATACGTGTGTGTGTGTGTTATGTATATATATATATATATATATATATATATATATATATATATATATATATATATATATATATAAAATTATTATCTTTCATAATTGCCCACGACGGCGCGCGTTACGACACAGACACACCGTCACGCACTGTGACCTGCATGACACATATTTGCATGACATAACTCGCCAAAAGAAAGGATATGAGGCATGTCATTATTCACTGATACTAATGTTTGTAAATAAATACATACACATACATACATACATATATATATATATATATATATTATATTTATATATAATATATATATGTATATATATATAATATATATATATATATATATATATATATATATATATATATATATATATATATATATATATATATATATATATATATATATATATATATATATATATATATAATATATATATATATATTATGTATGTATGTATGTATGTATGTATATAATTACAAACATCAGGATCAGTGAATAATGACATGCCTCATATCCTTTCCTTTGGCGAGTTATGTCATGCAAATATGTGTCATGCAGGTCACAGTGCGTGACGGTGTGTCTGTGTCGTAACGCGCGCCGTCGTGGGCAATTATGAAAGATAATAAGGTTTCTTTTTGGGTTGTGTGAATTTAAACTTAGGGACCCACACCGTTGCGTCATGAGATATGTCCGCAGTCTCTTCAGTACAACAGTAACGACTCTAACCTTGCAAAAAATGATTTCACTCTTGGGTTATATATGCGTATAAGTATAAGATGCACGCACAGATGCACATACCTCTCCCTCATTCACTTATTCACTCTCTCTCTCTCTCTCCCCCCTCTCTCCCTGAGGAGAGAGAGAGAGAGAGGAGAGAGAGAGAGAGAGAGAGAGAGAGAGAGAGAGAGAGAGAGAGAGAGAGAGAGAGAGAAGAGAGAGAGAGAGAGAGAGAGAGAGAGAGAGAGAGAGAGAGAGAGATAGAGAGAGAGAGAGAGAGAGCGAGAGAGAGAGAGTGAGGAGAGAGAGGAGAGAGGAGAGAGAGGAGAGGGAGAGAGAGAGAGAGAGGGAGAGAGAGAGGAGAGAGAGGAGAGAGGAGAGAGAGAGAGAGAGGAGAGAGAGAGGAGAGAGAGAGGAGAGAGAGAGAGAGAGAGAGAGAGAGAGAGAGAGAGGTGTAACTATTCCTACATATGTATCTTCGTTCTTCCATTTGTTATCCAAGTACTTCTCTTACAAGCGGTACACAGCAGCGTATATTGTGAGCAACAACAACACGGACGCCTTGAGCCAATTAGCGAAAACAATCTCAACATGCAACCCTGTAGATTATATGGTTAACCGCATCCTCGTGCTCGACCAGACAGATGTGGCTTGGATCAGTGCCTATGGTGCAATTATCTTCATGAACGGCATAAGCTCCCTGGCTCGGCGACCCGTGTGGCCCGGCAGGTGGGGACTGCAAGCTGGTCCCCGATGCAGCGGAAGTGGCAGTCGCAAGGAACCTCCTGCGGCAGCACGTAATCCTTCCCGCTCGCCCTTGAGGTTGTATAAGGCGCTGGGTTTCCGGCACAGAAGGCAGCGCATGGGAAGCGCGCCCAGAATATCTTAGATAAGGTGCTTTAAGGTACGCAGAGCTGATTTCAAGGCAACGAGAAGCCCCTTGCGTATTTCGACATTGGTATTCTTATGAGATGGGTGTTTATGAATGCCTTTACGGCCGTGGCTGTGATGAAGGGCATGAGACCTTCACATGAATCTTTGGTGACCATAACGCGTGCCGCATATCAGGAAAATGCATGGGTGATAGAATGCCCAATAACATCACAAATGGGAATATTGATAGTGATGTTAGTGCCGATGTTCTTTCGGGTTGGAATAAAACATATAATGAGAAAGTTTCAGGAATTGGTGATTATGATGGTCAAACTAATTAAACTAATGGCAAGACTGAATTGGATGAAACGGATAATAGGGAAGATAACAATAATCAGTCTTCTTATTTGTTTATTATTATCATCATCATCATCAATATTACGGAAAGAAAAATGACTAGCTCCTCTTTCCCTCTTCTCTCCTTCTTTCAGCTTACTCCTCTACCTCTCGCCTCCCCCCCCCCCCTTTCCTCTCCTGCTCTGCCACTCCCTAACATTCTCAAACATGAAAATCCTCTTCTCCTTTCCCACTTTCAGCCCAACATCGGTTCCCAACCACTTCCCTTCCTTATAACTATTATGATCATTATCATTAACATTATCGTAATTATGTTTATCATTACTATCATCATCAATTATCTTATCATCGTTAACACTATCATTTTTTCATTATCGCCATTATTACTATTATCATTATTGTTATTATTAGCATCATTATCTTTATTATTGTTATTACTATTATTATTATCATTATCAACATTATCAACATTATCATAATTATTATCATTATTACTATTATCATCATTATCATTGCTATTGTTATTATTACTACTATCATTATCATTATAGCTCTTACTATCTTTATTATCATTGTTAATACTATCATTATTATTATATTGATGTCTATAATTACCTTGTCATAAATATTCAAAATATCATCAAAATTATAATTACGTTCATTATTATTACTATTATTATTAAAATTGTGATTATCATATTATCATCACTATTATTGTTATCATTATCATTACTATCAGTAGTATGATTATTATAATTATTCTATTACTATTTTTATTAATTTTTTTATCATTATCTTTTATTATTATTATTATCTTTATTTTCATTATTATCATTATCATTCATTATTTTCATTATTATTAATATTATTATTTATTCATTACTATATTTGTTCCTCTCCTTATTATTATTGTTGTTGTTATTATATCATTATCGTTATCATCATTATTATCATTTTCATTATCATCACTAGCATCACCATTATTATAATTAGTATCATCATTATCATTATTATTAATGATGATAATTATTGTCATTAACATCATTTTAATAATGATAATCATCATTATCATTGCTATCATTATCATCATTAATTATGATAATCATAATTAGCATTATTATAATTTTCCTCATTATCCGTCTCCCCCGGCGACGGTTCTTCTTGGAACGTCCTATTTCTGCATCATTATCATTATCAATGATGATAATTGTCATTGCCATCATTAGATTATTAATGATGATAATCATTACCATTATCATCATTATCATTATTAAAGATGCTTCCTCTATCCTGCTTAAACTGCGCTGTATCGTCGAGGTGGCCTGGCATCACCGGTACTCAGCAGGTATCAAGTGGCACCCATAAGGGCTGGCACTTGCATTACCTGACGTGTATATATATGGGCCAGGTATATATATATATATATATATAATATATATATATTATATATATATATATATATATATATATATATATATATATATAATCATTATCACTATTATCCTTATCCTTATTATTATCATTAACATCCGGTGGTGTGGGGTCTCGATCCTCCGCGCGCCCCCGGCGAAGGTTCTTCTAACATTCTAATTTTGCATCCTGTTGGCCACTACAGGTAGGAAACAACACTCCTGAAGGGCTTCAGGATGTATTCCGCGACGTTCGACCTCAAACTCGAGCTCGAGCTCGGGCTCGGCCTCGGGCTCGAACTTGGGCTCGGTTTCAGGCTCGGCCTCGAACTTGGGCTCGGCTTCAAACTCGGGCTCGACCTCAAACTCATTCTTCGAACTTGCCTCAAACTCGGACTCGAACTCGGTTCTCGGCCACAAACTCGGGCTCGACCTCAAACTCGGGCTCGGGCTCGGGCTCGGACTCGGCCTCAAACTCGGGTTCGGCATCAAGGTCGGGCTAGGGCTCGGCTTTGAAACTCAATTCTCGGGCTCGAGCTCGGCTCTGGCCTCAGGCTCGGCCTCGAATTCGGCTTCGGATCGACTCGGACTCTCCTCGGCCTCAAACTCTTCTCGGTTCGGCCTCAAACCTCGGGCTCACTGGGTCGCCTCGGCTCGACCTCAGGCTCGGCCTCGAGATAACTCGGTGCTCGAGCTCGGGCTCGGCCTCAAAACTCATTCTCGAACTTGCCTCAAACTAGGCTTTCGCTTTAACTCGAGCTTGGCCTCAGGATCGGCCTCGAACTCGGGCTCGGATTCGAAATCGGCCTCAGGCTCGGTCTTGGCTTCAAACTCGGGTTCGGCCTCGAGCTCGGGCTCGAGCTCGGGCTCGGCCTCAAACTCTTTCTCGAACTTGGCCTCAAACTCAGGCTCGGCCTCAAACTAGGGCTCGGCCTCAAACTCGGGGCTTGGCCTCAAACTCGGCCTCGGCCTCAAACTCAGCCGGGCTCGGCCTCAAACTCAGGCTCGGCCTCAAACTCGGGCTTGGCCTCAAACTCGGGCTCGGCTTCAAACTCGGGCTCGGCCTCAAACTCGGGTTCGGTCTCAAACTCGGGCTCGAGCTCGGGCTCGGCCTCAAACTCAGGATCGAGGTCGGGCTCGGCCTCAGGCTCGGCCTCGAACTCAAGCTCGAGCTCGGGCTCGGCCTCAAACTCATTCTCGAACTTGGCCTCGGCTTCAAACTCCAGCTCAAGCTCGAGCTCAGCCTTAGGCTCAGCCTCGGCTTCAAACTCGAGCTTGGCCTCAAACTCGGGCTCGGGCTCGGCCTCAAACTCGGGCTCGAGCTAGATCGGAAAACTTGGCTCGAGCTCGGGCTCAGCCTCAGGCTGGGCCTCGACCTCGGGCTCGGATTCAAACTCCAGCTCGAGCTCGGGCTCGGCCTCAGGCTCGGCCTCGGCTTCAGACTCGGGCTCGGCCTCAAACTCATCCTCGAACTTGGCCTCAAAACTCATTCTCGATACATTGGCCTCAAATCGGGCCTCGGAGCTCGGGCCTCAGCCTCAGGCTGGGCTCGACCGTCGGGCTCGGATTCAAACTTCAGCTCGTAGCTCGGGCTCCGGCCCTCAGGCTCGGCCTCGGCTTCAGACCTCGGCTCGCCTCAAAACTCATCCCTCGAACTGGCCTCAAACTCGGTGCTCGCTTCAAATTCGGTGTTCGGCCTCGAACCGTTGGGTCTGCGATGATACGGACTGTTGTCTGGCCCCTCAATACTTCTCTTTCCTCTCGAACTTATGGCCTCAGCATCTCGGGCTCGCGAAGGGCGGGCTCGGCTCTAAACTCAGGTAACGGGCTTCTGGTTTCTGGCTCATCTCGGCGTCAAACACTTTTGCGAACTTGGCCTCACTCGGGCTCCATACTCGGGCCTCGTGTCTCAAACTCGGGCTCGAGCTCGGGCTCGGCCTCAAACGGTCTTTCGAATTGGCCTCAAACTCTTTCTCGAACTTGGCCTCAAACTCGGGTTCGGCCTCAAACTCAGGCTCGGGCTCGGCCTCAAACTGGCCTCCTCGGCCTCAAAAAACTCAGGGCCTCAAACTCGGCCTCAAACTCGGGCTTTGGCCTCAAACTCGGGCTCGGCTTCAAACTCAGGCTCGGGCTCGGCCTCAAACTCAGGCTCGGCCTCAAACTCGGGCTTGGCCTCAAACTCGGGGCGGCTCGGCCTCAAACTCGGGGACTCGGGGGCCTCAAAACTCGTTCCTCAAACTCGGGTTCGGTCTCAAACTCAGGATCGAGGTCGGGCTCGGCCTCAGGCTCGGCCTCGAACTCGAGCTCGAGCTCGGGCTCGGTCTCAACCTCATTCTCGAACTTGGCCTCGGCTTCAAACTCCAGCTCAAGCTCGAGCTCAGCCTTAGGCTCAGCCTCGGCCTCAAACTCGGGCTCGGCCTCAAACTTGAGCTCGGCCTCAAACTCATTCTCGAACTTGGCCTCAAACTCGGGCTCGGCTCGGCCTCAAACTCGGGCTCGAGCTCGGCTCGGCCTCAAACTCTTTCTCGAACTTGGCCTCAAACTCAGGCTCGGGCTCGGCCTCGGCCTCAAACTCAGGCTCGGCCTCAAACTCGGGCTCGGCCTCAAACTCAGGCTCGGCATGGGCTCGGCCTCAAACTCAGGCTCGGCTCAAACTCGGGCTTGGCCTCAAACTCGGGCTCGGCTTCAAACTCAGGCTCGGCCTCAAACTCGGGCTCGGCCTCAAACTCGGGCTCGGCCTCAAACTCGGGCACGGCCTCAAACTCGGGCTCGGCGTCAAACTCGGGTTCGGTCTCAAACTCAGGATCGAGGTCGGGCTCGGCCTCAGGCTCGGCCTCGAACTCAAGCTCGAGCTCGGGCTCGGTCTCAAACTCATTCTCGAACTTGGCCTCGGCTTCAAACTCCAGCTCAAGCTCGAGCTCAGCCTTAGGGCAAGCCTCGGCCTCAAACTCGGCTCGGCCTCAAACTTGGGCTCGGCCTCAAACTCTTTCTCGAACTTGGCCTCAAACTCAGGCGTCGGGCTCGGCCTCAAACTCAGGCTCGGCTCGAAACTCGGGTTCGGATTCGAAATCGGCCTCAGCCTCAAACTCGGGCTCGGATTCAACCTCATTCTCGAACTTGGTCTCAACTCAGGCTCGGGCTCGGCCTCGGCCTCAAACTCAGGCTCGGCCTCAAACTAGGGCTCGGCCTCAAACTCAAGGCTCGGGCATGGCCTCGGCCTCAAACTCAGGCTTCGGCCTCACACTCGGCGCTTGCCTCAAACTCGGGCTCGGCCCAAACTCGGGCTCGGCCTCAAATCGGGCTCGGCCTCAAACTCGGGCTCGGCGTCAAACTCGGGTTCGGTCTCAAACTCAGGATCGAGGTCGGGCTCGGCCTCAGGCTCGGCCTCGAACTCAAGCTCGAGCTCGGGCTCGGTCTCAAACTCATTCTCGAACTTGGCCTCGGCTTCAAACTCCAGCTCAAGCTCGAGCTCAGCCTTAGGCTCAGCCTCGCCTCAACTCGGGCTCGGCCCTCAAACTTGGGCTCGGCCTCTCTTTCTCGAACTTGGCCTCAAACTCAGGCTCGGGCTCGGCCTCAAACTCAGGCTCGGCCTCAAACTCGGGCTTGGCTCAAACTCGGCTCGGGCTCGGCCTCAAACTCTTTCTCGAACTTGGCCTCAAACTCAGGCTCGGGCTCGGCCTCTAAACTCAGGCTCGGGCCTCAAACTCGAGCTTTGGCTCTCAAACTCGGGCTCGGCCTCAAACTCGGGCTCGGCCTCAAACTCGGGCCGGCCTCGAACTCGGGCGATTCGAAATCGGCCTCAGCTCAACTCGGGCTCGGACTCAACCTCATTCTCGAACTTGGTCCTCAAAACTCGGCTTGAACTTGGGCTCGGCTTTAAACTCAGGCTCGAGCTCGGCCTGAGGCTCGGCCTCGAACTCGGGTTCGGATTCGAAATCGGCCTCGATCTCAAACTCGGGTTCGGCCTCAAACTCTTTCTCGAACTTGGCCTCAAACTCGGGCTCAAACTTGGGCTCGGCCTCAGGCTCGGCCTCGAACTTGGGCTCGGTTTCAAACTCGGGCTCGGCCTCAAACTCGGGCTCGACCTCGGGCTCGACCTCAAACTCAGGCTCGAGCTCGGGCTCGGGCTCAGGCTCAGCCTCGAACTCGGGCTCGGCCTCAGGCTCGGCCTCGAACTCGGGCTCGGCCTCAAACTCGGGCTCGAGCTCAAACTCAGGCTCGAGCTTGGGGTCGGCCTCAACCTCGGGCTCAGCCTCAGGCTCGGGCTCGAACTCGGGCTCGGAACTCGGGCTCGAACTTGGCTTCGGGCTCGAACTTGGCCTCAAACTCGGGCTCGAACTTGGGCTCGGCCTCAAACTCGGGCTCGGCCTCAGGCTCGGCTTGAACTTGGGCTCGGCTTCAAACTCATTCTCGAACTTGGCCTCAAACTTGGCTTTAAACTCGGGCTCGACCTCAAACTCATTCTCGGGCTCGGCTTCAAACTCTCAAACTCGGGCTCGGCCTCGAACTCGAGCTCGAGCTCGGGCTCGGCCATAAACTCATTCTCGAACTCGGCCTCAAACTCATTCTCGGGTTCGGCTTCAAACTCGGGCTCGGGCTCAGCTTTAAATTCGGGCTCGGCCTCAAACTCGAGCTCGGCCTCAGGCTCGGCCTCGAACTCGGGCTTGGAATCGAACTCATTCTTGGAGTCGAACTCAACCTCGGGCTTGGGTTCAAACTCAGGCTCGGATTCAAACTCGGGCTTGGGTTCAAACTCAGGCTCGGATTCAAACTCGGGCTCGGGCTCGACCTCAAACTCATTCTCGGAGTCAACCTCAGGCTCGGATTCAAACACGGGCTCGGCCTCAAACTCGGGCTTGGCCTCAGGCTCGGCCTCGAACTCGGATTCGAACTCGGCTTCGGCCTCAAACTCATTCTCGGGCTCGACCTCACACTCGGGCTCGACCTCGGGCTCGACTTCGGGCTCGGACTCGGCCTCAAACTCCGGTTCGGCCTCAAGCTCGGGCTCGGCATCAAACTCATTCACGGGCTCGGCCTCAAACTCGGGCTCGGCCTCAAACTCGGCTCGGACTCGAATTCGGCTCAAACTCGGGCTATGCTGTTCAGGAAGCACAAGGTCTGACTCAGAGTTAAGATGCTCAGGCTGGATGGGATGCTCAGGATCTGGTTCAGTATCAGGATACTCTGGTTCTAACTCAGGTTTAGGATGCTCAGGCTGGTAGGTGGGCTTAGGTTCTGGTTCATGATCAGGATGCTCGGGACTCAGGTTCCAAATTAGGATCAGAGAGCTCAGGGTGTGGCTCAGACTCAAGATGCTCTGGTTCGTCGGGAAGCTCAGGTTCTAAGCTCACGGAAAGGAATCTCAGGTTCTACCTCAGGACCAGGATGCTGAGGCTGGTCAGGAAGCTCAGGTTCTGGCTCAGAACCAGGATGTTCCAACTGGTCAGAAGCTCAGGATCAGGATGCTTCGGTTGTTCGGGAGGTTCAAGTTCTAGCCCAGGATCAGAATACTCAGGGAAGTCAGCAGGCTCAGGTTCTGGCTCAGGATCAGGAAGTGCCAGTTCGTTGGGAAGCTCAGGTTCTAGCTCAGGGTCAGGGTGATCAGGCTGTTTAGAAGGCTCAGGTTCTAGCTCAAGATCAGGGGGCTCAGGTTCTAGCTCAGGATCAGGAGGCTCAGGTTCTAGCTCAGGATCAAGATGTTCAGTTTCTGGCTCAGGATCAGGATGCTCAGGCTGATCAGAAGGCGTATCTTCTAGCTCAGGATCAGGAGTCTCAGATTCGAGGATCAGGAGGTTCTGGCTGGTCTGGAGGCTCACGTTCTAACTCAGAATCAGGATGCTTTAGCTGGTCCAGAGAATTAGGATTCTTGGGCTAGTCAAGAACCCCAGGTTCTAACTCAGAATCAGGATGTTAATATAATAATATAACAATGGTAGTAATAACAATAATAATGATAATAATAATGAAGGTGATGATGGTGGTGATCCGAATCATGATCCGGATCCAGGATTTTTAAAAAGGATTCCTTAGCATTGCGAGACAGAGGAACACGGACGTCACTACTGTATATAAGAAAGAGGCGATCTTAATGTTATTCTTCAAGAGTGAGTATTTTTCCCTGTATCAGTGACCTATTGCCTTGGCGGAGGTATGCGCTCTCTGTGTTCCTCATTATTATTATAATAATTATTAAGACCCTCATCGTTATCATGCTATCATTATCATTATTTTTTATCATTATTTATGTGGTTATTATTAGCATTGTTATTGCTGTCGTTGTTGCTGTTGTCTTTAATTTCTATCATTGTTATTATAATTGTTATTAAAATAATCATCACTATTGTTATCATTATCAGCATTATTGTAATATATTCATTTTCATTATCATCATTATTGTGTTTTTATTAACGCTATTATTATTATTGTTATTACTATTTTTTATTGTTATTGTTGTTATTGCTATTGTCATTACTGTTATCATCATCATTATTATTATTACTATTATTACTACTACTATTTTCATGATAATGATAATAAGAATAATGATAATTACTAATATCATTATCATTATTGATATCATTATTTTTCTATTACTATTGTGATTATTATTGTTGTTATTATTATTGTTATCATCACCATCATCTTTATTATTATTATGATTATTATTATTATTATTGTTGTTGTTGTTATTATCATTATCATTATTATAATTATCATTATCGTTAATATTATACTTATTACCACTATTAATACCATTATTGCTATTATCATCTTAGTATTATCATTATTATTATTATTATCATGATCTTTCGCATTATTATCTTTGTTATTATCATTATCATTATTATTACCCATATCATGTTATCACGATTATTATTGGTAATATTAGTAATAGTATCAACATCATTGCTGTTATCAGTAATATCACTACAATTACTATTATAATGATATTAGTAATAACTATTACTATCATTGTTATTATCCTGATTATTATCATTATCGTTATGGTTATTGTCATTATCATTATTATTGCTATTAGTATAACTAGCATTATCATTATTGTTATTACTATTACTCTTATTACCATTGTTATTGTTGTTGTTGTTATTGTTATTATCATCAATATTATTATCCTTATTAGTTTTTCATTATTATTATTATTATTTATTATTATTATTGTTTGTTGTTGTTATTAATATTATTATTCTTTATCTTATCATTATCAACATATTTATCATTTTCATTATCAGGTTCTGACATTATTATTATCATTGTTATCATTACTACTACTACTACTACTATCTTTGTTATTTTTATTGTTATTATTTTCTTAATTGATTTCTATTACATTACTGATATTTCCATTATCATTATTACCATTACCATTACTATTGTTGTAATTATCATTTTTATCTTCATCATCATCATCATCATCATCATCATCATCGTCATTCTCATTGTGAACATTGATATCATTGTCATTATCAATATAAGCAATGCTTTTGTAATCTTTGTTGCTGTTGTCATTACTATTGCTATGGCTATTATTAATAATATTATTATTGTTATTATTACTATTATAATTATTATCATTGTCATTGTTATCATTATTATTATCATTATCATTATTATGATTACTACTCTCATCATTATCATTATTGTTATCATTATTATTGCTGTTCTTTTATCATTATAATTATGATTATCATTAATACTATTATCATTATCCTTAACATTGCAATTATTGCTATCATTACTGCTTTTACTGTTATTGCAATTATTTCTATTGTTGTTATGAATGCAGTTCATATCGCTGTTCCTATAACTATTATCATTATTATTGTTATTGTTGCTATTTTTATGATCAGTATCATCATTATTAGTGTTATTATCATCATTATTGTCATCATCATCATCATCATTAGTATCATCATCATCAGATATTCACTAGGTATACTCCATCACAAAAAAATCCATGACGAAAAGAGAGGAAGGGAAGGAACGAAAATAAACAGAGGGAGGGAAGGGGTGGAGATAAATGAGGATGAAAGCAACAAAGGGAAGAGAAGAAGGGTGACAGGAGTAGGAGACAAAAACAGAGAGAGAGTATTACCTGAATGTCAGTCAAGGCTACATACAAAGAAGAAACCCGTGAATCGTTGCAAACAGAGAGAAACTAGAAGGGAGTGTTCAGGCGCATATAAAGGCAAGCATACACTGCATGCATACGGCTAAACATATGCACTAAACGTATCCCTAATTCAGTGGCAGAGAGCGCAGGGGAGGGGGAGAGTGGCTGCCCATATGTACCTCGTTCATTCCCGTTGCAATACATGCTTTAGTCTCTGATCAAGGGAGGAAAATTCGGATATAAAACTAAAACAGATATGAAATTGCATCGACTTCTGTTAAATATAAAGGTAGCATACAGTGATACAGAATCGAATGCAGAAAGGGAGATATAGTAGATACACACACACACACACACACACACACACACACACACACACACACACACACACACACACACACACACACACACACACACACACACACACACACACACACACACACACAGACATCCTCGAGCTCACACATACATACATACATGCATACATATATGTGCATATATACATATATATATATATATATATATATATATATATATATATATATATATATATATATATATATATATGTATATATATATATATATATATATATATATATATATATATATATATATATGTATATATATATGTATGTGTGCGTGAGTGCGTGTGTGCGTGTGTACACACACACACACACACACACACACACACACACACACACACACACACACACACACACACACACACACACACACACACACACACACACACACACACACACACACACACACACACACATATATATAATATATATATATATATATATATATATATATATATATATATATATATATAATACATATACATACATATATGTATATGTATATACATATATATGTGTATGAATGTGTATGTATGTATATAATATATATATATATATATATATATATATATATATATATATATATATATAGAGAGAGAGAGAGATGAGAGAAGAGAGAGAGAGAGAGAGGGGGAGAGAGAGAGAGAGAGAGAGAGAGAGAGAGAGAGAGAGAGAGAGAGAGAGAGAGGAGAGAGAGAGAGAGAGAGAGAGAGAGAGAGAGAGAGAGAAGGAGAGAGAGAGAGAGGGAGAGAGAGAGAGAAGAGGAGAGAGAAGAGAAGAGAGAGAAGAGAGAGAGAGAGGAGAGAGAAGAGAGAAGAGAGATGAGAGAGGAGAGTAGTTATATAATATTATCCTATCTATCTATCTGTGTGTGTGTAAAATAATATATACATAAATAATATTATCATATATAAATTATATATATATATATAATATATAATGAATAATGGTATAATAATTATGTATA